TTCTTTCTCGATCGTTCGCTCGCGCAGCAAACCTGTATGTCTCACCGTCACGTCTTGCTTTGCCACTGACACCGTCTGTTACTTTATCGACGTCACAATCGGGTGCATCGTACTTTCACCGTCCACTTTGAACCTTCCTTTTCTTTTTTGTGCATCTTCGCATCATTTATACTTAGACCAAACCTTCTGTGTAAGTTTTTTGCTGTTACAAAAGACATTAAACTATTTATATCGGCCTGTGAGCTGCGCTGAATTCTTTACCGATAGAAGTGTTACAGTTTTGCCACACCTTATAGGTAATTTCCCTTCTTTCACTGCGAAAGACCTTAATCATCACGATTTCCTGTTGTTCATCGAACATTCTAGATACTGGCAATCATTTATACAAAGAGAAACATTGATGCTTGATTCGATGGCATTTAATTGTGCATGATTGGCGCAAAATTTTGGATCATCGTGCTAGGGTCGAAAGTGTTCTAACTGGTTCTCAGCGGCACATCGAATTTGTTAAAAATTTGATTTCTGCTCAAATTCCAAATATATATCAAGGTCAAGAAGCTGCAGAAGAATGCGAAAATTCACATATGTCCTGCACTTTATCTACGTTGCCCTTACTGATCATTTCGATAACTTTTCCCGAATATGTGGGTTTTTCTACGTAACGTAACTTGAAGTAACGGAAAAAATATGGCTGGAAAGTCCTGATAAGTACAGTAATCACCACAGGCGTATTAAATACAGTAAGCACAAAAAGTTTTACCATTTATTTTCCTGCCTTGGATGTATTCGGTGGTAGAATAAGTAATGTTGAAAAACTCCACATGACTCTCATTAATTCTTCCTTATTTTCATTTTGAATGAATTTGAGCAACGATTCATACTTTACGATAATATAGCATTCCGATATATGCATGTTACAGACCAAAAATTCAATTTTGACTTTTCTTGAAATTCTGGGTGCCCCCTTCAGAAAATTGGTCACTAAACTTTTGAAAGTTACTTACATGAGTCATAAAAGAGTGCAAGTGACTTGTTTGTATTTGTAGATAATTGAAATGATTTTTAAAACTTTTTAAAAAATCATTTTAACCTTATGAAAATTTCTTCGGGGGCGTGGCTGACGGCACGCTCCTTTTTCTCAAATTACTGGGTTATGAGCCCGTGAAAATTTTAGGAAGCATACAAAAAAATTTTTCGGAGTGCGTGGTTGACCCACGCACCCTCATCAGAAATTTTTTTGCCCCCCCCCCCCCGAACGAATGTTCTGGGTACGCCACTGGCTGTTGCCCTTGTTCGTAAGGATATTATGTCAATGGATAGCCCCTTGTCTACTCCCTCCTCCCTCATACATGGCAAACATGAGACTTTGGCGGAGCTTCTACAGTTGTTTGGAGATAGACGAAGAAAGTTCAAGAAGAAGAAAGTTCAAAAAAGTTATGTTGATTATTGATTGTTGATTGTTGATTATTCCGCCTACTTCCATTAATTTTTGATGGAAGTAGGCGGAATAAATAAGCTAAGTGTTTCTTTACGTAGTCATAGTCGGTCTATGCAATAGCTAGAATAGCATTTGCGTAAGGCAAAAAGTAATGACGTATTTTGCATTTTTCTGGGTTGATGAACTCATCAAAAACCACAGTACTATCCTCCACTATTACTCATCAAACCTCCAGAACAGCAGTTAAACCAGCCCAAATGCCACTGTACTGATACTGACAAGATTCCTTTGCTCAGTTCTTTAAGAATATTGTTGCCCAAGGAGCGAATGACAGCGGCTGCCAAGATTATACCGCAAATCATTGAAATTTCGGAGGATTCTATTGAGAGCAGAATTTTCTCCTATTTTTAGTCATATACTAAATGAATAAAAATCTCTTCAACTTAATCTACTTCAGGCAGGAACTGTCTGGATAACCCTGCACGTTATTCAGGCGGTTGCTCGCAATAAAAGACATTTTTTTATCATTTTTTAGCTATGTGTCTAAGTCATGGATGAGTATGTTTGTCAAGTATCCATCTAAAAGACTACCTGAATTTATTTAGTGGCTTCAAAATCTTGACCTATGCTAAACTTTTCCCCATCTTGTTCAAACGCAAGATATAAATGCAAAGTACTAGCTTACCAAATCGTTGAATAGTTCATTATTGGTAGTTTAATGGCTAGTTTGATCTAGTATCGAAAAGCTAACCTTTGCCTTACCTGCTCCTGAGTTTTACCTCAACTTGAACGGACTTTGAATACAGATCGAGTACTATCGTCATGTACCGGTTTGATCGCTCAAAATAATTGATCAACCATCATTTACTTGTAACAGTCGTGACTGATAGGTCAGTTCATGTACGTTCATTGCGCATGAAGTGATGGAATTATGGATTTTTATTGGGTGCATACACTATGGCTATTCGTTAATATAGTTAATTTTTGCAATAGTCTCCCAGAGAATGTTTTTTAAACATATAATGGAAGGTCTGGTATCATAAATATGTGCTAGGAATTCATTGTTTTCCCAAAATTGCTTTAATCGATGCCAGCTTTCATGCGAGCATTTTGCATTTGTTCTAAAGTATTGAATTGCCTCATAATTAATGCACGTTTTTCTAACCTCTTCTTTCAAACTTCATTATATTGCACCACCGACCAACGACCAACCATATAATGAGCAAAGTTCGCGCGATCCTGGTACATTTAAGAGCAAGCTAAGCTTCCTCAAAGTATAGGTTTCTAGCAAAATGTTTAGTTTTCGGTCTAAGAAATCTCTCTCCGAATGGCTACAATCCAACAAAAGCATGCGTTATAAAGTCAAAGGTTTGCTGTTTGCAGTATTTTTTATTGCACTCAGAAAGATGATTTTGGAAAGGAGTTATCTTGATAAGAAGTTGAAATGCAAAAAACGTGCATTGATTATGAGACAACCTGATATTTCCGAGAAATGTTTTGCTGACGAAGAGAAGTTACTGATCAACTTTGAAAAATTCTTAGGGTCAGTCCTTATATGTATGTCAGGTGTCCAAAAAAATGTATTGAACGTAATCGCTAGAAAGTTCTTGTCTGAACGACTTTAGTCGATCTCAAAAGTGTTGTAGGGCTTGCTTCAACTTACAATTGAATTAACACCGTAGTTCGAACCACCCATGCTCTTCCTCACTGTAGGATTACGATAGGAACTTCCAGCACAATATCGTCATTGCAGATCAGCCAATTGCCATTTCAGAAAAATTTCAAAAATGCAGATACTCTTTGTAGAGTTTTTGAGCATGCTAATTTAGTAAACAACTTTTCAACTTTTTAGATGTTTGCAATAAGGTGGTATAATCAAATTTTCTTCAAGAAAACCGAATTTTCTTTAAGAAAACCGCTCTCACATTACCCCTATCGTCCTTTCAGCGAGAGGGTTAAAGCGAAGAATTATGTATGGAATCACCAATGCTGTTTACCTACAAAGTCTTCTGCTTTTTCGGATGATTTCGTTGGATGTGCTTTCATTGGCGCGAAATCCTTACAATGGTTCACCGTAATCCAACCCATAATAATGAAAAGACTAGTTATTAATTTCGTATTATGAATCCAAATTTGATCCAACCCTACACACTACCTAAATATCCGAATTCTCTCTGGACAAGAGAGTTATCAGTGGTCAAGCTTCATACGTTTTTTGAGAGACCCTGAGTAACATAATAAGCGGATCTATCAATTCATACTATCTATTTCAAGCTGAACCAAGCTTACCGCGAACGCATCTGCCGTCTGACCAATCTCTACACTTCATCTCTTCTATTCTATCGATGTAATGACTCTAATGTATATGCAAACTATTTCTACGCCCAGACTAACTGCAGCGGTTCAAGTAGGTCCCGTAAATCAAGCGTCGGATCCATTCACCCCTATTGTGCCCAGCAGTGCGCGACGCATGACCCAGTTCAAAGTCAATTCTCAATCATTCAATGCGCGCCTTCTCTGAATGTACTTCGCTACGCTGAACATCTATGTCATCTGCATCAGTTATTGCCTTCTGACATCACTGTTTTTGATCTTACAGGTTTTGGCATTTTTTGTGGGATGCCCAATTTTTGATCGCTATTGAATGTACAAGTTCACAAGAATATATTCATATTAGAATAGATGTAATTTTCTATAAGATTTGCAATTTTTTGAATTAGTACGACTTTGATTTTTGACTATGGTTTCCAACAGTCTCGGTTATAAGACACATTTTCCATATCTTTAATAATTGTGTCACAAGTTCGCTGCCATTTCTATTTCTGCACGGCTGAAAAATTTGAAAAAAGAGTGTAGTCTCTTCTGTTATAGACACGTTCTTTATTGGCTGTGAGCGTTTTATTCAATCCAATATAGTCTGCCTATATTTGGGGGAAGGGGGGGGGGAAGGGGGTTGGCATTACGAGCTCTGTTTCAAATCATCATCATCCCTGAAAATCGAACCAAGCTGCAGTAGAGAATTTCTAAAGTAAGACTTACAAACCTTAGCATTTTTTTCTCTTGAGAGGCTATAATTTCTCAAAATTTTTTATCGTATTTAATTGGAAATCCTATTCCAAAGCGTTCTTGCACCAATGCGCATCAATGCACCATATTGTTATAAGAGGGAAAAAAGAACATCTCAATCAATTTGTCGAAGGAAAAAAGCATTGGCATCTAGCCATTCAAGGTTAGGGTTTTGCTTGCAGAAAGAACAGTTTTTGCCTGCAAACCTGTCTATATGCTTACGTCAGAAATATGTCAGGAAGCGTCATTTTCCTTTGTGATGAATATTCTTTGATGTATCTCTAAACTGACAATTTTCACAGTTTCTTCTACCGGTTACAAAAAAATGGATTTGGGTATGGAGTGAATGAGATCTACTCTCAATAGTCTCCAAGATAGAACTATTATCTTCTCCTTTTCCTTCGCGCTACTAGTTCGAATAAATTTACTTTCCTGGTTTCTTCTCATATTCTCTCTTTTGATTTTGTGATCCGAGTGGAGTATTTTCTGATTTCCAGTTGCCTTAGCCAGGTGGGCGATGCAGCGACTTGAGTGCCACGTGAAGAAGTACAAATGGGGAAAGCAGGGCAACGAGAGTGAGGTTGCCCGATTATTTGCAGCTGGTCATAGTAACTTCAAAGTGGACGAAGATGAGACTTATGCAGAGGTCAGAGGCATTCCGTCTTTTTCTCAATCGTCCTCTGAATACCGTAGAAAAATCAACAGAGCTCAGGCGATGGTATGTTCACGGGCATAGCTTGTAACCATAGTTTTGTGGAGATTGACTTCCACTACTTAATGGTAGATGGCATGTCCAGACCAGTGCTCACATCAAAACAAAAACTTTATCGAAATGCAATGTCTGAGAACTTTCTAGCCAACCTTATAGTTTATGTACTATAATAGCATGTAATGTACTATAGTTTATGCACTGTAATAGCCTGAGGAGTACTGTACTTGAATATTAGCAGCATTCCATGCACATTTCGCCGATTGTTCTTGAGAAAGCAAAGTTCAAAGACAAGCACGACGGCTGCCGAAATCAAAAGATCAAGACGCAAAGGTGTTTGAGCAAGAAACTTTGAATTCAGCTATGGATGGGGACCCATCCCGATGGACCTGCTATCCTCTCCAACTCTTCCACACGGCTATCATCATTCATCGCGAAAAGCCATTCGGCTAGTTACTTATGTAACAATAATCTGAAGGAGGATATCCATCTGCCATTCATCATGAAAGTCATGTCTATTGCAAGATCTCTCAGTTTACAAGCGCATCCTACCAAGGTAAGGTCTTTGTGGAAAGCACTGTAGATTTGGTTAGCAGATAGAAAACTTGCATTCCTCCATTTTTGTTTCTCCTTGAATTGACTTTAGTTTCTTACAAGATCACAAAACAAATATTACTGTAGGAGCAAGCTGCACGACTACATGAACGAGATCCCGTTCATTATCCAGATAGGCATCACAAACCCGAACTTGCTTACGCTCTCACCCAATTCGAGCTGTTGTGTGGTTTCAGGCCAGCCGAACAAATTATCGAAAATATGGAAGGTAGAGCATGAAAATACCAATCCGTTCCAAATTCTGAACAAAGAAAATAATTCCAGCATTTCCACCTCTCCAAGCTATCATGGATAGCCACAACTGCAATGTTTTGAAGGCAGTGTTAGCAAAGGAGAAGGACTCACAGTCTTTGAAGTGTCGGCAGGCATTGGCTGCGTGTTTCGGGTCCGTATCTAACTAACTATTCAACCTTTGTCGAACCTATTTGATGTTCCCAGAGAGATGATGGAGAAAGCTCGCAATCATCCGGAGCTTGTTGCCGAATACGTGGATCAGCTGATCGTGTATCTTGATAATGGGTGTAAGTCGACATAACTTCATCGCTCCTCCTTGATCCATTCTACCAATTCGAGAAAAGCGTTTCCATTTTATAGATCGTGGCTGCATCACCGAAGGCACTGTCGAAGTGATTCGTAAGATGTACGAAGATTTTCCTGGAGATGTGGGCATTTTTTCGCCGTTGATCCTCAACCATATGGTATTGAAGCCTGGAGAATGCTGCTACTATGCAGCTGAAGAGCTTCACGCCTATCTGAGTGGTGGTTGGTATACTAAACGACTTCAAAGATTCACTCTATACAGAAAGTAATCAACTTGCAGAATGCGTGGAATGCGTTGGCTGCTCGAACAATACCATTCGAGCTGCTATGACTCCCAAGTTCATCGACAGAGATGCGCTTTGTGAAGTATGAGAATGGGGAGTTTATTACACATAATAATTAGTGTAAAAACTTGAAGGTTCTCAATTATCGCATGACGCCACCTGAAGACTACCTCGTGCCAGCTACCCCTCTTCCTGGTTACCCTGGAGTTGAGGAGTATGCACCTGACTGCAAAGATTTCCAGCTTCACAGGATTCGGGTGGGTTTGAAAGTATTAGTAATATCGAAGCAATCAATGCTATTTCTTAGGCGCGAACTGACGTAGAAGAAACATTTCTTCCAATTCTGAATTGTGCATCCATCATGGTCATCGTGGAAGGTTCAGCGTATCTCGAAGAAGTTGACGAACCGAGCAGCAGCCAATCGAGGGTAAGCGTATGACTTGTTTGGCACTTTTTCGTCAACTTTTCCCACATAGGCCAATAGCGGTCATTTGGGGTCAGTGGGAATTTCAGTCAAACAAAAAAACAACGTGGAAATCTATTGAATCCAGCTTCTGAAAACCTATCGTTTTATTTGGTATTCTGAACAGCTGACATGACCGATAACAGAAAGTAATGGGATTCAATCTGTCTCATGACCTTATTACAGTCGCAGTCGGTCGCCAACCTAGCGACACTGGATAGACGGCACGTTACACGGGGAGATATAATCTACATACCACCTGCAAGAAGGTTAAGGTAAGTGCTGTGTGGGTCATCATTAGAATTACAGAATGTAGATAGTGTTCCAAGGCATTTGGTGGTACAATAATCCTGTCTTACGACCTTGGTTTTTTGATACACGATGGGGAAGCTTTATTGTTTAGAGTGGAATGATACTGTAGCGTCATTATCTATTGTGCAACAGACACACAATAGACCATAAAATCTGTTCCAGGTTTGCTCGATGCACAGCGCCGGTGGAAGCCTTTCGCACTTTCAGTTACGAAATTGGACCTGATCATGAGAACCGAAAGCTAGTTAAAGTATGATTTTTTGATGTCGTTTGAAGACACACCTTTTGTTCCAAATTTATTTTGTGTGTGTCACAGAAATTGTTCTGTCTGTGCTTATTTCAGGAAATTCCTTCCACAATCTCCGTGAAGAAACCTTTGTTCACATTCAAGCCTTCTGCTGAAAAAACCTTCGCCGTCGATTCAGAAATGGATGGTTTCATATGATTAATGAAGAAGTAACTAGACTTAACAATGATTTTCTAATTTCATTCCTTGTATAATCGCTTTGGCATGTATGTGACGTGAGGTATAGGACCATAAGTCTCATTTCAACTACTCTGCTGAAAGATATCTCAGCTATGGTCGAAACTCTTGCGGTCTCGCTGAGATTCTTTATCACTGACTACATGGTCAAGTTAATTCTGGGAACGGATTTGAAATTTCGGCCAGAACAGCAAATTGTTGGGCGCCGACTTGTAGCCGGTGTTTAGTAAAGTTTACATTATGCAGTTCGAGACTCGTGATTTACGATAATGTACTCTGATTTTGCATCTCGCATGTACTTGAGAACCTGATTTTGCATCTCACATGTATTTGAGGCCCTTCAGATGCTGTCTCTCAGCTTCAATGCATTAAACCAGCTTCTCTTCATTCCTTTTGCGCGTCATTTCAGAACTTCTTCTTCGTCGTCAACATTAAGTTTGATGTCAGGTAATTTTGCTTAACGCTGATCCCTCTCTTCTTTCTTTCATCACCCATATCAATTTTGAATCGTCTTTGTATCTAGGAATATTTTTCCATTTTCCATAATGAAAATGCTTTATTTAAATTCAGTCGTAATAAAAATTCCGAATATTAGGAAAAAACTCGAAAAATAACTTGAAACCAATCTCGAGTTGCAAGTTCTTACTTAGAACGTAAACGAAGTTGGAGCTATCCATGCAGCATTTTTATCTGAAGAGGTAAAACCATCACTCTATTTCACCCATCTGTCCGGAAGACCAGCAGTATGGAAGTGGAAGCAATGCGTGCCGCACATCATAACCCAATTGCAAGAGCTTGTGTTGATTGACAGTGATTTAACGGATTCAAAAGCGAATTCTACTGAAGATGCCTTATCGGAATGCCGAACAATAAGAATTGTGCAAAGAACAACCAAAACAAGAAAAGTAGCGGAAGAATGACGAAATCTGAGAAGACTAATCGGAAAATTGATCTCACAACGAACGTGATAATCCGTCGCGGTTTGGTCTAGTGCTGGCACATGCATATAAAGTCTACGTCAACCTTGCATTCCCTTTTCTACCAGCCAACAACCCCAGAGTCTCGCCCCGCGCTCGCGCACGTACAATTGCGCATTCATAACTCGTCTTATTGATTGGGGGTCGCCGCGTAAGCCCTTGCGGAGCGGATGCGTGCCTGCTACGGAAAAGAGAGCAATTGATTGACATCGATTGTAGGAGTATACCCAATGGGCATGTCAGGTCCAGCGTGAGGTCAGGCCAATCAAGAGGTTTTTTCCTTGTACATGTCTTCGTGGACCTCCTTTTCTTCCCTTTAACCTGAAGGACATCGTAATGTGATATGAAAAAAATTATGTTCTCCAAACAAAAGTTTACGCTCAATTTTATGCGACACACATGCAGTTGGACTGAGTCTGACGAATTTCAAAACTGTACAGACTTCACATTTTTCTAGTATTTTATTATTTACGTCCTTATAATGCTATGGCAGGAAGAGATTTGGAGCCTACGAGTCATAACAAAAATTGAGCATTTTGCGTCCCGTAAAGGAAAATTAAGGTTAGGCACAAGGCTAGAGCTCAGCTCAGGTCACTATCCAAAGATAAAAGTAATTTCTAGCATAGGCTAGCGAAGAATTTTGCAGCAATATTGCAAATTTCAAGAAGTTTACTTTTTTCTTTTTTGTAACCATGTCAGGTAGCAAAAACGCTTTCTAATGTCAGAAAAACTCGAATGTGACCCAAATTTTACGAGCACAAAGCACAAGGTCACTCGTTTTCTTCTGAACAACCTGCTCGAACATGGAAGAGACTCAACGGAACCGCTACCGTCATGCACCTTACATAAGAGACCTGTGTGGTATAGCGATGATCGCGTGAGGCAGACTCAAGATGCTCGTGATCAACCAAGAAACATTGGTAGTGGAATAGAACCCGTAGAGTTGATTTGACACGCTGTTGGCAGTTGGAAACCTTGGGTTCCGAAGCGCCATAGCCTTGTTACAAGCGACAATGAAAGCGCACCTCTTTTAGGCCCCGGACAGACTTCACGCGATTTGATCGTCGCTCCTGAATCGCGACTAGACAACTGTTACAATATCATTCCATGCCGATCAACTTGCATTTCGGTTGTGATATTTTTCCAGCCCGAAATTTCTGAATGTGAAATGAAATTGAATGGAAATGTCGGCAATTGAGTCGCGACGATCAAATCGCGTGAAGTCTGTCCGGGGCCTTATACATATCTTTTGCTATCGAAATTATTATTAGAACACACTTTACACTGTCGAAAAACACGGAAATAGACGAAAAATGTCTTGAACAAAGTGAACGCCAACATCCACTGTCAAAGACTGCTCACTTACGCTGGTGTTCAAGGCATGGTAAGGGCAACTACCCTTTGATTTAACGGGATTGGCGGCTGGAGGGCGAGGCCTAGTCAAGGCTAGAAAATCATAGAGCTTTGCTCGTGAGAGGAAAGCCTAAGGCATACCTCGTCGTGACACCGTCGTCACGATTTTTGGTCGCTGCGAATCGGCTGCCTGGGCGACGGATCATTGCGTAGAAATCGCTTATGGCTCGCTCACAGGCCATACCTCTTGCGATTTTGTGAACGCTCACACACCACACCGCATTTTACGCACTTGTGGAAAATTTGCGCTAGTTTGTCTGCAGTGCGTTTTTTCAAGAAAACTTGAACAGAATATGGCACCATATGCTTTCAGAGAACATTACCGCAAACGAACAAGGACATGGATTCACACACATCTTCGTATTTACCAAGGTTTTTGTACCGGCGCAAGTTAACATCTGCGATGAAATCGACTACAGTTCATAAAATTTTGAGTTCACTTTTTCAGTCACCAGTAGGCATATACTTTAGCTTCGTAACAGCAATGCCATGCTTTCGGCTCTGTAAAAAACTTTGATTAGGCATATTTTAACAACGAGTGCTGCGCGAGCTCTTGTCTGCCAATCTGCGTTCATGCTACATGCTCAAGCAACCAAGATTGCACATCTACTCTGCTTCAGGAATTATGGCGAAAATATTCGAGACTTGGTCATCATTTACTTGTTGTTTGAACAAGAACAGTAGAATTAGCGCATTGCGAGAACAATGAATGCTAACAAAAAGGGTGAGGCGACATATGGGAAGCATTCCATACTAACACTTCGCATGTGTTGTTTTCAAGGATTAATAGTATGGAATGCTCGATGACCAACCTTCTCTCATATAGAGAGGAAGCGATTGTGCGAGATGGAACAGTCCTAAATGAGATTCGCATTTACAAAAAAATACAAAACTTTCCACAAAGAAGAAGCAATTCGCGCGATGTGCCCCGTCGCTGGTGCAGCAGCAGCGACGCGACATCGCTCAATTCCAACGATATCGCGAAGGTATCGTTGGCAAAGTATGCCCGTCCAAAAAAGGCCCGCGATTCGTCGCGGCGTCAGTCTAACACAAATGCGGCGGGACCACACATTTAGGTGCGCCGGCGCGGCGGACTCGGAACTTATGTCCGAGCTGGAAATCGCGCTGCGACTGAAATCGCGGGAGGTATGCCTTAGGCCGAACGCAGACTGCGTCGCGGGTGCGAGCGGTCGCCTTCCGGCCGCCAACCTGGTTGAGGGTAGGTGTAGGTGCAAAGCATTATATAGGAGTACGATAAGCGGTGGAGATGTTGAAAGCTGCTGAATCTCTGTATAACTAAACTGGTGCATTGTTCATAATACCTAATACCTTAGAAATATGGCATTCAACAGTCGAGCGTTTTTCTTCATTTATTAGATCGTAGTATTCCTAATTGTTTCAAGCAATTTCTATTCTTGATTATACCGCTCCCCTCCTTTTTATTCCACCCACGCTAGTAAGGTCATATATTATAATACTTGCCAACAGCGCCATCTTTTGGTTTGTAAATCACTTTGATCATGTTCTGGCGCTCGCAATCTATGAGTGTTCTGCTATACCACTACATCTGTTCGTTACTGGCGTGTAGATTAGAAAAGCCGCCAACCACTGATTGCGAACTCATATCATCGCTGAGTTCAGCAATACTGTCCTTGATTGGAAATGGCGCTGTGATTTAGTTGCTGGCGAAGCATTCTTTTGAGTACTCTCCCTGACTCACTCCTGACTTGAGTGTTCTGGTTTTGTCACATCGAAGTGATGCCCATATTTTGTAGCTCGAAAAGCTTTTGAATGTTTTCGCTGTCTGAACATTCCCATACTGCAGACATAAAGTGGACTAGAGCGGTCGAGCTATTGCTAAAACCATGTGATTCCGACCATGTTGGGCCAGACATTGTTTTGTCTACATGCAGACCTGGAGGGGTGGTAGTAGCGGTTGTCTTCGAAGTAATGAAACGACAGTACCTATCGAAGCCAACTAGCATATGAGAAATTTGATGTTCTTCTCATGTTTTTATGTGCTATGCATTCCGCTCTTCTCGTAGCATTTCGCGATCAGTTTCTGTAAGTTTGACGGATGGGAACATGCGTGTTATGATTGGCTTTATTTGTATGGTCACATCTGTTCTTCTGCTATACGCAGTGCCCACTTTGAGGACTCCCAAGTGGGTTTCAAATCATTCGGTGCGTGCACCAATTAATAACATGATGCAAATTTCAGAAGTAATGCGGGATGATTAGAATTTTCGAGAACCTCTTTGAACACCGCATTTGCATCGAAGAAGAACAAAGCTATCTTAGATTATGCGCACTGTGGTTCGACACCTTCTCTCTTGCAGGCGCTATACTCCTCGAGGAGTATAGCGCCCAGTCGCCAGTAATATTGGCGATCGCCAATCGCTGCTACTGACTAGTGCCAGTCGCCAGTATTGGGGAATGGTCTTCAACCATAGAATAGTTGGACCAAACACTGTTTTCTGCATACGTATTGGTCGCTAGAAAGTTACCGCCAGTCCACTCGATTCAACTTGGAGACGCCCAACACGGTCGACAGTCGTGACTACTATCGATCTCCAGGTGCGACTGCACCTTTGATACGTATCGATTTGACGTGTGCTAACTTGTTGGCGATCAATATGTAAAGCGCAGTAGCCAATATTAGCGACAGATAATCTATGTCGCCAATATTGACTATAGGCAACAGCCAGTCGTAACGATAAAATCGAGTATTTTTCGCGTCTTTAATGCACATCGATAATGCTATACTTCTCAAGGAGTATAGCGCCTGCCTTAGCTGTCATAAGAACGAGCTGTTCGCTTCTTTCATGACTAGAGGGCATTCATTTTGGAGGTTTTGATTCAAAGCGAGCCGGGTTGACCGGCGCTTAGCTGCTGCCATCTGATGTCATGGCTAGAAAAATGCTTCCCTCTCAGTGGGTTGTGTATTTATAAAAAAATATATTGAAGAAACGATTCTGGGTGGTTCCATTTTTCGTCCTGGATGCGTGCGTCTGGTTCACCGCGGAGAAACCGGGATGTCTCAAAGATAGAAGCATGCGTAATGCGCGCATCCG